ACAGGAAGTAGAGTACTGCAACAGGTGGTGCCTTCCGACTCCCCCTACTGCGGTCAGTTTCCAAATGGACTATAATTAGTTTTATGCTTAGGAAATGTTGACCTCAAAATCTAAATATTTAACAATCGATGGTAAAGATGGGTAAAGTATGCAATTTTAGTTTGGAGAGAGGCCAATGAACTGGTAATATCAAATTCAGATGATTTAGCGTCTTTGGGAAGTTTAATCGGCACTTTTCTTGCCTAATAATTAAACAGAAATTCCTTAGGCCATTTAGAACAGAAATTCCTTTCGTTTTAGAGAATTGAAAGTATTTTAAAAATTGACTCTTTAGTATCTCTAATAATTTGTCTCAATCTTGAGATTTAGTAAAACAAATTTTTGTCCTTTCTCTTTCAAACTTATAAGTAATATTACAATTAATTAAGGTTTTTAGTTGAGATAAAAAAGTCAATGGCACGAGCGGGATTCGAACCCACGATCTTCGGCTTGATACGCCGCTGCTCTACCACTTGAGCTAACGTCACCTCGACCCACTCGGACACTAACTTCCCATCTCAATCCCACCTTTTGAATTTTCCCTCCTTTTTGCCATTTTTCAAATGTCGTATAATCGGATTGGATTCTCAACGACAAATGAAATGGCCACGGAGAGCTTTAGTGAAGTATACTTCATTTTAAATCATTAAATTCACTAATTTCGTGGTCCGCTTGACCTTGATAGATTGGTAGAATTTGCCTGCCGGAATATCCTTCCAGCTACACTAGGTTGAAAAGAGCCATAGCCATCCACCCTAACCCCTAAGGTGTTACATAAGGCGTGACATCACAGCTCTTCAGCCTCCAGATCGACCAAACCAAAGAAAAAGATCTGGGGATCCTGAGTAATAATTTTTTTTTGTTTGCTCGTATTAAATTTTTGTGGAAAAATTAACTAAAATATTATCTATTGACTAACGCTAGTACATTTGTTTTGCTATTCTCTCATTGTTATACACTGACAGGGAAAAAAATTCCACCCAATTGATTTTTTTTTCACTTTCTCCATAAAAAAAAATTCTGCCCTTAATTTTTCTCATTGTTTTTACCAACAAATATTTTTTATGGTATGCTTTAAATTGGGAATATCAATTAGAGGTAAACACACTTAATCCTTAATGCAAAACAAGGATAAAGGATTTTTCAATGTTTACTTTTTACGGAATTTAAAATGTTTATTTAGTCCCATTTGAATTCTGAAGCAATAAGCTGTTTAGTTTTCATCTTTGTTTTCTTAATTTCAATTTTTAAACTTAAAAATGCCACTTAGTGCTGAGGACGTTGCGCTTGGTGTGGCACATTGATGATGGACGTTCCATCAGGTATGCGACTATTGCCATCGGAGTTCCGTACGAAACACTGCGAGACGCTGTTAGACCTTTTCGAGAAACTGCGTCCTACAATAGAAGGCCTGGTTCTGGACTCCCTAAGTAAAAGAACCAGAGGATGACAGTTTTTTGACTTTGAGAGTTTGTCGAAACCTTACTGTTGTTCAAGCAATTCATCAGCTCCAGGAAGTTCAAGATGTCCAAATTTTTGAACGCAGTGCTCGAAGAAGATGAAATCAGTATGGACTGATGGCGTTTCGCCCCGTAAGAAGACCAGAATTGACCAGAACACACAGAGTTGCACGCCTCCATTTGCTCAAGAACACAGCCATTGTTCTTTGGACTGGTGTACGTGTTACAAATGAGTGTTGATTTGCTCTACGATCTCCAGATGGGCGTGAAAGAGCGTGGAGAAGGCGAAATGAAAGAAGCGTTTAATTTTTCTCAGAGCAAACCTTTTCAACGTGGCTCAGTGATGGTGTGGGCGGGAATTTCAATAGAGTGTCGCACAGAGTTCGTTGTTCATCGTGGAGGGTCTTGGACGGCCTCTCGCTATGTCGAAATTTTGGAACATCATGCGTTGTTGTATCCTCGATGAAAGCAGCAACAATCCTATTCTAATGCACGATAATGCCCGTCCACATGTCGCTCGCATAATACAAATACCTTCAACAGCATAACATCAGGGTCTTAGCTGGCCAGCCCAGAGTTGTACCCCATGGAACATTTATGTTCTTTATAAGAACGAAGAGCATATCCAACAATTCCTGATACACTCCACGATCTTGAAAAGACTCTTCGTGAAGAATGGGCTAACCTCCAGTAAAGAGACATTTCCAGACTGGTAGAAGGATGCCGAGGCGTCTTAGAGATGTAATTAAGGCAAGGGGAGGAAATATGCGACACCGAAATGTCAATTACAACAAATTTTATCAGTCCTTTTTTCCATTTTTTATTTCCCTTAGCAATTTACATTTTGTTTTTAGTTTTTTAGACAGTCTCAATTATTAAACTTTTAAAAACGTGAAACTTTGATTAATATACAAAAATGTAAACAAATCAAGTTTTATTACAAGTGGATAGAATTTTTTGCCTGTCATTATTTTTCATATTAATTACGGCTATGTCCTACTAATAAATAAGTCATTGTTATATGCAATTAAAATGTAATAATTAATTACAATAAAGTTCTATTTTGGAAAAAAATATTAAATATACATGTAATAATTGTAGAGCATAAAAAGAATAAATATAAATGCACAGAAAAGTAATGGGTTTTGTCTTCTAAATAATAAGCTGTTTTATACGTGCTATTTAACAAAGTAAAGGTGACTACGAAATTAAAAATTAAAATTCTTGGAATAATTGAATCTATACTTTCAAGCGTGGCGAGCATAATGTACGAGAGCCCGGGGATCGGAATCGTTCAACATCTCTATGATTTGGACTCAAGAGAGAGTGAAGGACCCAAAGATGCAATACACGAATCTCCCCTGAAATCGAACACTCAGCAATGAAGTAAAGAACTGTTTCAATTGATCTCGAATTGCAAAGAGAACAGATGCCACCCCTCCATAGAATTCAAAGAGCAGAGTTCGAATGGAGAAACTCGCATGAAAGTTTTAGAACCCAACGCAATTCAGAGAGATTAATACCGAGGAATATTCTTTTAAATTAAATAAACTACACGAATGAGATAGATCTTTAAACAATAAGGCATTAACTGAGGAGCATGGCGTTCTATGATATTTTATTGCAAGGAAGCTACAAAGCTTAAAATAGGTCTGACCATTTATCATGTTTATCAAGGGGTGCGGTTAGGGAGTACTTATGGAATAGAGATAGCCATTGTGCAAACCAGGAAGTGTTTGGGATCTTATGATTCTAACGCTGTTAGTTTTACTAGCCTGTAATCTGAAAGGTGTAAGGTTTTATGGTTGAATGTTAAATGAAGCTGTAAGGTGTGTGTGTGTGTGTGTGTATGTGTGTGTGTGTGTGTGTGTGTGTGTGTGTGTGTGTGTGTGTGTGAGTGAGTGAGAGAGAGAGAGAGAGAGAGAGAGAGAGAGAGAGAGAGAGAGAGAGAGAGAGAGAGAGAGAGAGTGTGTGTATATCTGTAAATCAAGTAGTAAAATATGATTTCTTTCTATCTTATTTATATATTTCAATAATTAAAAACCTGTGGAAGAAACTTTCCTATATTGTAACCCTATTTTTTTTGTCATCAGATTTACAAAAATTGGAAGCCGAAAGATGTACTTTTTTGATCTGTATTAAAAGTCGTATTTAAGGGTTGTGAAGGATGCGTAAAATGAATCGGAATTTTGTTTTCAACAAACACGCTTTTTGACCTAATTTACTGAAAGCGTCTGTTAGTTTGTCTAACGATCCTTTTTTTCTTATAATCTTCACGTAATGACATAAACCTGTTCTCCGTGAATAAGTTAGAATTAAAGATATAAAATAAAATATTTGAGGACTTTTTGTTGATTTCAACCTTATTTATCTCATTTATAATGAAATAAAATTTAAACCTTATTGACAAAGGTTGAAAGAGGAAACTAGCCTAAACTGTTTAAAGGTTTAATATTCTTGAGTTTGAATAATATTGAGAATAGTTGTGAATTTTTAAGTGGACATTGGATAAACTAAAATTGGCCACCTGCGAATCTAGTCCAATTTTTTTAAATTATATACTACAAAAATTAGTATCTAAAGGTTTTACAGAGTTCACAAAACGAAGTTGCACCCTTGTTAACCTACAGCCGTTAAAAAGTTTAATTTCTCTGCGGACGAACAAATTCGATCTTTGAACTAAATTACATAATTATTTTGTGCCCAAGCGACCACCTAGTAATGTATGATATTTATTTGTTTATTTTTTAAGTAAGAAACGGATGGCTGCATGTTTCTTATCCAAGGTGGAAAAACAAATCGACTGATATACATGTAATAACCTTGAAATATGGCACATGTCTAATATTTTTCTATTATCACCCCTTGTAACATTTTCTCTTTGAAGTCATTACCAGCGAGAATTGAAAAATTCATTTTATAAAACAAAACCGCCTTCCAATTTGGAAAACCTAAAAGCAGATCTATTTTCTCACTTTTTGTGAATGATAGTTTCACTCACATATTTGTTATGTTAAATATATTCACTAGTTTTCGTGGTCCGCTTGACCAAATAATATCTTTCAATTAATTAATCAGTATTTAAGGTATTGGTTGAGATAGAAAAGTCAGTGTCACAAGCGGGATTCGAACCCACGACTTCGGCTAAATACGCCGCTGCTTTACCACTTGAGTTATCGTGACTTCGATCCATTCGGACACTAGCTAACACACACACTAACTTCCCATCTCAACCTCACCTTTTGAATTTCCTACAAATTCCTACAAAAGCGCGGCAACGACTGAGTATTGACAATATTATTGAATATGCCCCTACATGCTCAATAATATTGACAATATCCCGTCCACTTTTAAATATTGAAGCCCTGAGATCAGAAAATTTTGATTTCATCAATATCGACCATCAATACTCTTTTTTTTCATCTTACATGATATTATTGTCAATATTATTGGTCGTGGTAGGGCCTCTTTAGGTTACAAAAAAATTAAAATTAATTTCTAATTTTCCATCAGCTGATCACTTCGCAAATTTTCCTAAAACCTTATTATCTAGAAGCGAATATATAATTTGTGATTTTTTAAGAGAAGATTGTTGCGAAAGGTATGAATTTCACTTAAGCCAAATTTTAAAGTAAGAGGTTTAAAAAATCAGTTGCACGTTTTTTACATATATTTTGACTTGGCACAAAGGTGTTAATTTTCTGCTTTGTACCTTTTCCCTAAAAAGTCTATTCCGATTTTTGAGTGATAATGTACAGGCTATTGTTTTAAAGTGTTATCTTTTAACCAAACGAGCTTCTACACCGCGTTTACATTTTACAGAAACCGGCTGGTAACAGGACGAGATTTGATAGAAAACTCTTTTTTATGTGAGTATTTAAAAAACACTAGTACATTTTTATTGTTTTGTAGAACCGAGAAAGCTACTCGTAGATTATTTAAATGGGTGTAAACAAATTTTTAATTAGTTAGTAGTTAAGGAGGTATTCTTTGATTACAAAACGTGTACTCATAAGTTTCCTTTCCACAATGGCCGCAACCTTCCATTTTTACCTCGGACCAATTTATTTACACGTACACAAATAAAAGTGAATAAATTTATTTAGTTTTCTAATTAGAAACAGATTAGAAACAAATTCAGCATTTCTACACTCTGTTAAGTATGTATTTATATAGTAAAATTTTAAATACAGATGATGAATTGGCAAAATAAAAAAGAAATGTGGTTTGTTTTCGTGAATGGCAAGTGTTGGCAATTATTTTTTGTAACTACTCTCTATCTGCAGGTGAACCGCAGGGCAATGGGCTTGGAGCAATCCACCTATATCTTTTATAGCGCAGATAACCCAACAACACCCACCAATCTCCTAGCATCCTTTGCCAATGTCAGCGGTACTATCTCTGACCCTCATTCTATATTGCTTCGGAAGAGCTGCAGAAACAAATCACATTTTTAGCAGATTGGTAGACTGACAAGGCAATAAAAAATGAAGATGAATGGTTATCAAGCCTCAATGGTTGTTCTACAATACTAACAGTGTTTTAATCCCTTTTGCTCTCTAAATCTCCCTCTATTAGTTTTTGAAGATTTAAAAAAAGGTTTCTTGTCTTACATTGGTCAAATATTTGTATGATGTAATTTATCCCATCTCGCTTACCAAAGTGCCGGGTTTGTGGTTTCAACCTAATAACAGCCAAAACATATCCTATGTAGATTTATTGCTAACCCCTACCATGCCTTGGAAAGTGTAATTTTTCCTCGCTGACTCTTTTAGCATGAAAATTGCCTAGATGGTGATGGTGATATTGATGAGGATACTAGGAAGTGGGGTTTGTGCTCCCCAGGCACTGCAGCATTCTGGCTTATTGTACCTTCTTAGTTCCTTAGTTCAGTGCAATCAACTCAAACCTTCTTCTTAGAAGTATTAGGTCATTGACAGTTGCTGCTACATTTCATTCCCTAGGTTTTTTCTGTATGCTAGGTTAAGTCTCCATTACATAATTACATAACCTGCAGATGTATGCCCATGTTGTGTAGATGTTTTCTCAGATGCCAGTGACCAGTTAGTTAATAGTCCTATCACTCTTCTGAGTCTGGCCCTCTCCAACAGCAGCAGTGAGTTTGCAGATCCCCCTCTGGCCAGTATGTTTGCTGTTTCGTTACACAAAATTCCTTTGTGTCCTGGTGTCATCTGATATATATATATCNATTGTAAAACACTAATGCTTTAATAGCTGCTTGGCTATCCGATCTTATGAGGATTTTTTTACCAGTGTAACCTCTTTTAAGATTTTCTAGGGCACAAGTATTGATGGAATGTATTTCTGCTTGAAAGACCAAAAAGTGTACTTCCCTAATCAGTTTGATTGCTCATATCTTGAGCTTGTACAAAAAACACCCTATCCAGATCGGTTCCTTCATTTGTTTTGGTGCCATCTGTACCATATTGTATCTGATGCTCTCCTGAATTCTTCTCCTTTATAGTCTGTTGAGACTGTAGATGTTGTAAAGACTGTTTCGAGGATCATATAGTCTCCCCATTTCTAAGAAAGGATGTATGATTTTATTAATTATGGTCGTGTTTAGTTCCTATCCAATTAGGTTGTTTTTGGAGCCTAAATAAACTTCTTAGATTATAAATGTTTCCAGTGGAGGTAGGTTAACAGAGTTTCTAGTGCACTTAAAGGGGTTGTTCTCGTATTACATCGGTTTGTTAATCTTTATGCTGGGTAGCTACTTTTTGTTGAGCTTTGGTCCACCAGATTAATGATCCATTGGTCATTTTGGGTCTTATTACTGCCATACATAGCCAATGGGCCATTGGAGTTACGTTACTGAATTGGTTGTACCATAACTGTGTTAATTATAATTATGTTAACTAATTTATTTAAAATAATATTAAAAAAGTACTGCTAGTTTTTATGAATCAGCGAAATCATTTACTAATTGGTCTTGAATTCCAGTTTTGTCTTAGGCGAAATGCTTTCTCGGATGTTTATCTCTCAGGTGAGGCAGTTTAGCCAAAGACGACTTTTGTGTACAGAAGCGAGCTTGACCAAAAGTGTAATTGGCACAAGGGAAGTCGTCGGTTATGGAATAAATGGAACTCCTTCTTATTGGGACTTGGAAATGTTTCCTTATCCAGCAGTCCGTTTTAGAGAAATCACGCCAAACATAAAGGTATTACTTTATTGCAAATAATCAATTTAGATCTGAAAGTGAAATATCTTTAAAGGCCTTAAAAGAAAAAGAAAAGGGTAACTGGAAATCCTTGACGATAGATGAAAAGAAATGTTTATACAGAGTCAGCTTTTGCCAGACTTTTGCAGAAATAGGTGCACCTAGTGGAGAATGGAAATATATAACGGGCTCTGTCCTCCTTGTATTATCTGCAGCCATTAGCCTTTACACGACAATATATGTGTTAAGTAATTTAACTGAATTACGACGTTGTTTGTTTGTAGAATGCATTTAATTTTTTTTTTTTTATATATAGCTAGAGGCGAACCTCCAAATTCTTTTAAACTTGAGAGTCAGCAAGCCCAATTGAAACGGATAATACAACTGCGCATGGATCCAATCGATGGGATATCATCGAAGTGGGATTATGAAAAGAATAAATGGAAATAGAGCGACAGAAGGAACAAACTTTTGTATTTTCTTCTTTGTAACACGTCAAGATTAAAATTTTTTGTTCTATGATTGAAACTTTTATTAAAACTACTTTCTCAAACATTCTGGCTTACTTGTAAATAATGTGTGTGATTTTAAGGCGATATTTTTTATCGTAAAAACTAGTTTAGGTTATTCTATAAATGTAGTAAAATTGACGTTAGAAAATAATTAACTGTGTAAGGTTAGTAATTCTACATTTTCTAGTGTCTACTGACAAACAACTACTGGGAAGAGATCAACAGACATTCTAAATCATGGCCAAAGGTTGTGTTTAACCAAGGCTCCTCTGTTGGTTCATCTGCCGAAGTATTGTTGATTTGAGGAGGCTGTGGATGAAAAAATGAATTTTAACATGAAATGTTATTCAAAATTTAAGTAATTGATATTCTTTAGTATTTTCAATGAATTACAGTGACAGCTTCAGTACATTCATAAGGAGGTGAATGGATGGATTTAGTTATAGTCCAGGCTATAAAAAAATTGAGAATGTACATAGCACTGTTTTGAGGGTTGTCATATACAAACAAAGAGGGATATTTTGAAAAATGAAGCAAAATGAGATTGATAAGGAGTGCACACCAGAAAGCAATCTGTTTTTCCATGATAGTTTTCCTCCAACTCCATAAGCAAGAGGGCTTTGAAATTAAAAAACCTTTGTCTTCAAATTTTAGAGCAAAAACTAATTGCAACAACTGGTACTGTTGAAGTCTCTTACACCTTCTGGTTGGTGGTCCCTTAATTGCCCTTCCCGAACACGGCCTACCACCAGAGATGGACTTCACCGCCGGCACTTACTCTGCCATTTCGTTCAAACATATTGGGATATAGGACATAAAGAATATATAACTACTCTGCAAGAGAGGCAAACATTGTGTCAACTTGGTGGTCGGAGACTTAGTTCTCCTCAGTGAATCCAGTACTTTGACACCTGGCGTGAATCGGAGCAATCCATCCAGGGACCGATAAAGTGGTGAGAGTCTTAACGTTGTCAGGCATCTACAAGAGACTAGTGGCATATCCCTCGCCCCATCTTAAACAAGTGAGGCACACCAAATTTTGGTGAGCGGAATGTTGAATTCTCAGCAGAAAATGTATTTTGCACTTTTTAAATTATTTTAATTTTATGTTCAACATATACTTTTAGTTCACTAATTTCGTGGTCCGCTTGTCCAATTAATATATTACAATTAATTAAGGTTTTTAGTTGAGATAAAAAAGTCAATGGCACGAGCGGGATTCGAACCCACGATCTTCGGCTAGATACGCCGCTGCTCTACCACTTGTGCTATTGTGACCTTGGACACTTCCCATCTCAACCTCACCTTTTGAATTTTCCCTCCTTTTTGCCATTTTTCAAATGTGTAATCGGATTGGATTCTCGACAACAAATGAAATGGGAAAATTCAAAAGGTGGGGTTGAGATGGGAAGTTGGTGTCCGAGTGGATCGTGGTCACGATAGCTCAAGTGGTAGAGGAGCGGCGTATCAAGCCGAAGATCGTGGGTTCGAATCCCGCTCGTGCCATTGACTTTTTTATCTCAATTAAAAACCTTAATTAATTGTAATATACTTTTAATTTTTTTAAAATATTTTTTTTTTTTAACACAGTAATAATTTAACACATTTACATAAGAATGACGATAGAGCTTAACCAAAGATGAAAGTTAATCTGTTGCGGCTGATAAACATGCTCTGATTCTTGTTTACATTTGGTCAATTGCAGGCCGTTTTTCCATCCGACATACATTTCATCTAGCTTGACTCTGGTCCTCCAGCATCTAGCAAGAAGAAAAATTGGGTTATGCAATTTTGTGCCCCCCCCTTTGCCTGTATTTTTGGCCCTCCGGGCTAGATCTAAACTATTCCAAGGTGTATTTCCATTGTTTCATTTAAATTTTATGTTTGTTCATATATTGTTTCAATTGTAAAGTTAATATAACAATACTTTGAACATTCTTTAAAGAACAAGAAGAAGAATTGATAGATGGAACAGTGTTTCTACCAAAATCTGATTTTTTAATAAAAGCTAATAGTTTTGTTTTTTAAGTAGGTTACACTACATTTATAAATACATTATCTTCTGTTTTCATTTGAGACCATTTTTGTTATTATTAAAATAACAATGATAAAGTTAGTACCAAATCTAATTGAATAGTATCTACAAATTGTCAGGAATGACAGAATATATGAATTGATAGAATTCTTCCAATTCTTTTTTAGAGATTTCATGGCCCAGTTGATCATAACTTCTGTGATCACCTTTGACACCGAGATCCTGCAAATTTTGGAACGTCTTCTTCGCCAGGTTATAATCGACGAGATTGTCATCTACACCGTGCTGGTGGAACAACAAAGGAAACGGTTCTTTTCCACAGTTTCGGAGCTCCTTAAATTGAAATTTTTTACAGTTTCTTGTTGTAAAATATATTGTAATAAATATTTTACTTTGTAAACTAGGCTTGAAGTGGGAAGAAACGAGGATATCACTCCAACTCCTGCCAGACCTTTTATATATCTGTATCCCATATGGAAAGACATTCCTTCTCCTCGTGAAAATCCAGCTTAAATTTACGAGTTTATTACATTGTGAATAAGTGACAGTTTGCTTTTAATTTCTTACCTATGACTATTCTACTTACAGGGATACCGCATTCCACTTCATGGTTAACCAACTGTATCAAGTCGTGAGCTATGTTATTAATATGGCCCTCATCTTCTGCAGCGTCCATTGAAAATCCTGATATGTTGAACCAAGTTGTAACCATCTAACAACAGATAAAGTGTTACAGTGTAAAATACAATATAAAACAAATACTTACGGCTCCGCCCAAAGGAGAGTAGTGAGTCAGAGGAGCAGTCGGAAAAATTAGCTTTACGTGTGGAAACAGAGCTGCTTCACCAAGTGTATTTTTTATCGACTCATAAAATTCTTTACCAGAACCACCTAGAAAATGTAGAGGCAAATTTGAAGGCCTGGTTTTTAAAAATCTATGTGCAAATGTTTCTTCTATTAACCAATTTTGGAAAAATAAGACAATGACTTGTATGATTATAAAGCAATTTCTCACAAATTAAGAAATTGATATTAATGTACATTTTAATACTATTGTAAAGTACAATTAATTAAAGGCTTTTAGTTGAGATAAAAAAGTCAATGGCACGGGCGGGTTTCGAACCCACGATCTTCGGCTTGATACACCGCTGCTCTACCACCTGAGCTATTGTGACCTCGATCCACTCGGATACCAACTTCCTATCTCAACCCCACCTTTTGAATTTTCCCTCTCTTTTGCCATTTTTCAAATGTTGTGTAATCGGGTTGGATTCTCGACGACAAATGAAATGGCCACGGAGAGCTTTAGTGAAGTATACTTCATTTTTAATCATTAAATTCACTAATTTCGCTTGACCAATTAATATACTACAATTAAGGAGGGAAAATTCAAACAGTGGGGTTGAGATGGGAAGTTGGTGTCCGAGTGGATCGAGGTCACGATAGCTCAGGTGGTAGAGCAGTGGCGTATCAAGCCGAAGATCGTGGGTTTGAATCCCGCTCGTGCCATTGACTTTTTTATCTCAACTAAAAACCTTAATTAATTGTAGTATATTAATTGGTCAAGTGGACCACGAAATTAGTGAATCTATTGTGAAGTGTTAAAAATTGAGGTAAAAAACAAAAAAATAGACCATCAAGGCAAGTTACAAACCGATAGCTGATTCTTTCATAAACAAAAGCAGTTAGTAATATAATAAAAATCTGAAATTTTATTTATTTCAATTGGTTGAATCCTTCCTTTGAAAGCTTATTAAATGTCTGGTAATTTGGCCATTTTTGATTATTTTGGTTTGCCTATCTTTGCTGTCTTAGGATAGGCACACCAAAATAGTCTGGAAGTGATTAAATTACAGGTACCATTAGACCTCATGTTAAAATCTCAGAAGTGTTTTGTCAATTGTTTACTAAAATTATACAATTATTTCTTTATGGAATGAAGTTCTAACTTTTCAAGCAATTGAAATGATAAAATTAATTTGATGTACTAAGAACATTTTGTAATAATAAAAAAAAATTAAAAAAAAAAATCCCGCTCAAAAAATTACATACGTTTAATGATGTGGGAAGTTGTTCTGAGCCCAAATAAAATAAATTTTTTAAACAATTTTTTTTTAACAGCTATCGACAAAAAAAGCCCTAGAAATTTGGAATATAGTAATGGTGTATATATATCCACGGCTTCAAGTTGTATGGATAATTTAAACTTTATTAACGTTATTATGTCTACTGATGTTTCCATAAAAATTTACATAATGCTGTGAAACCTTAGAGGGGCTAGAGAGAACAATTTTTCTCAAGCAAGTTAACAAATAATTAAATATGCAACACCCAACAGGTAGTGTGCCCCTATATAGTTAGAATTACTTTACTTACTTAACCAATAATTAAATTCTTTAACAAATTCGTGTTACTTCGATTTGTGAAGTGACAAAAGATACAAAAAAGAAAAAAAAAGATAAATAAATAAAAAAATGGCAGACACTTTTAAAAGTTTAGAATCTTTAATGCCTAAAAGGCTTGTGGTTGTAATAAAAGTCAAAGTCTAAAGAATATTTATTTACTTTATAATTAGTATAATAATTATACAGTTTGAAATTTCGTTACCAAACATCCTATCTTCTACATCAGAAATTTTGCACACTGAAGATGTCAAAAGGCTCTGACAAGCTAACCCTGTAAGGGATTGGCAGACCAGGATGATTATTAACGACCAAATTTAAGGTTCATCATCTCGCAGACAACTTAGTATATAGTTGGTTGATTTATCACTCAAGAGCTATATACGTTTTTTCTTTCAATGTTAGCCAGAGAATGCGATGCTGATTGAATTGTATTTTTATGGGAAGGGGGCGTGAAAGGAAATTCCATGAGCGACGATGGGACGTGAACCCACTACTGCGGCGTCTACGAGACGAGTGACACTAACCATTTTTCACACGTACCAGACATTTGAGTGTTTTTTCATATTTCAGGTCACCAATTCTCTGCTAAATAAATGTGGTATTCTTCTGCTTCCAATCATAATTAAAATTAATGTAGTTAATTGGTATTATCAGGAATTGCCTTGTTTTTCAATATATATTTATTGAAATAATTAAAAGAAAAGAAAGTTAAATGGGTTTAAGTTTAAATATGATACCCAGTAAATTATAACCGATGAATTCCACTAGATAACAATCCCAATGTAGTTAATGATTGACCAAGAAACCAAGTAAGTAAGTACAAACGTAATAAACCATGCCATATATCTCTTAATTAACAGAAGAGAGGGGTTTGCAATTTATGACCAAAAACTAATTTTAATGTAAATATTAAGCTCTATGAGATAGCTTCAGTTTTCTTGGTGGAACACGCTGCAACAGAGTATGTATTTATGCTTAAGAAGAAAGATATTACATTTCACAATGTTTATAAACAGTAAAAGTTTTCCTAAAGAGCCAAATAAAATACAAAAGTAGACAAGTTAGTAGTTTGAGGTCGTATATTGATGGTAATGAAATAGATAGATCAACACCAACAAAAAGCTTTTTTTTTAGCTTTTTTTACGAGGGTTCGCAACAGCAAAGGTTATAACAACCCCCAGGGTGCCGGTGTTTTTGGAAAAAAAAGCCCATTTGTAAGTATGTCGAGCTGCTGGATTCGAACCCGGGACCTTTACCTTACAGTGATGAGTGCTGTGTCAACACCTAAACCATTGCGGCCACCGACGCCCCCTAACAAAAAGCTTAAAAGGCCATTTTTTCAGTCTAGGAAGGGCAAAAAAGTAAAATGTTATGTTCTGAACTAAAAATTTTGGTTGATAAAGCATTATAATAATTGTGAAATTTCTTTTTAAAGTCTGCAAGGTGATGTATTGGTAGCTTGGTTTACCTTGCCCTGCTTATTTCCCTGATGTTACACACTGAAGAGGAAAGGTGGACTATTGCACTCCCCATAGATGGCAAAAAGCTGTTTTGACAGACAACAAAAATCAAAAGGATCAAAAATAATAGGAAATGACCAACCAGTAGCTTGGTTCTATTTTTTATCATTTTTCTTTCTAACAAATACTGCATTGACAATTTGATATGAAAATGCACATGAATTGACACAAAAACCTACAATTCGCAAAATTTAGCATATAACAGCAAGGATAATTAGACCAACACTTATTCATAATCCATCCAATTACGTGTATTTTTATGTTTTACGCCTTTTTATTAGCGTCATTTCTAGGTACAGAAACAATCTACAATAGCATATTTCAAATTACAAACCAGGTAAACATAAAATTTGAGTAGCAGAGATGCTATCAGTTGCAGGGAGTGATTGGTTGGATTGTCAATGGAAACCAAGACAGGTCTTGTCAGGAGTACATTAATCAAATTTTGCCTTTCACAGAGAGAAGTATAATGAAAAATGACATATATTTCTGTGGTCTGTAGGATGAGGAATCTATGTAAGTTGCCTATCTCTTGGTCTGCATATCCTCGATGATTTTGAATGTCAGAACTCGACTCCAAGAATTCACTCAAACTCAACACCGAAGTTGGCGAAATGCCAAAACGCATGACAGACAACATCAACGAGGATAGGCAGAACAAGAAGATAGGTAACTATCAAACAATGAAAGTCACAAGGCAGACTCGATGTCACAGGTGGGTTATATCACAGTGCTTTCAGTCCGTACGGACATAGTAAAAATTATACATTCCTCAATGTACTGCTTCAAGGATCCAGTTGTTATTCTTTCGTGTTACTAAAATAAATATAAATTATTTATCTTTTTTTCCAGGACCAGGCCCCACCACGCGCCCGCACCCATTCACTCAGCTCAATCATCTTCTAAATTTTCATGACTGAAGATAATCAAAAAGTAACTTTTATCGACTTTAGAAATCCATAGATTAAGTTGAATGCTGATGGATTGTTGCTTATTAGAACAGATTCTAAGTTTATTGGTTTGGAAACGTTTGGGACTTTACTCAGATTTTTTAGCAGTTTATCTCTTTCATTTTCGTGTTCTGGGCATTCAAAAATTATGTGGGAAGGATTTGAAGAGCAATCGCAAGTGGGACAGTTCGGAGACGATGCCAAACCGATTCTCTTCTTGTAGCTACCCCATAGGCCATGATTTGTCTTCAGTCTAAAAATAGTAGAATAGAACTCCTTTGACATTCTTTCTAAGCTATCGCCTTCCGAAAACCTTTTCTTGAGCTCAGGGAACAGAGACTGTAACAATTTCTGACATTTAATGTGTTGTATTTTTCTTGTCACAGATTTCTACAAAACTTTTTTAAAAAGTTTTTCCAGTCATCTTTAGGAATTTTAATGTCAAAGATTGGACCTGATATTGCAGCCTCCTTTGCAAGTGCGTCCACCGTTTCATTTTGCCATAAGCCTGCATGCCCTTTCACCCAACACAATGCCACCCTTTTTCCCATGATTTTTGTCTCAAGCGTTTTCCTACAGATTTGGGCAAAAATATAGTTTCTGCATTTATATTAGTAAAGGTTAGAAGGCCAAAATCATCTCAATTAATCTAAGTATAAAAGTATGTCTACTACCAAATTAACATGACTGTGTCATCTTTAAATAACTTTATACTTGTTTTATTCTTATCGTAGGCATTTTATATTTTTGTAACGGTGAATTAAATAAATGACTCCACTTACGGCTTCCATGTAGCAAAATCAAAGCTCCAGTAGGCTCGCTTTTCAACTGGTCAACATACAACACCGATGTCACATGCTTTAACATTTCCATCGGACACCTTTCGTTCATTTTATACCCTATCTACAAATGAAAACAATATTAACAAACTATAAGATTTGAAACTAGCAAGCAGAAGACTTTATAAAATTTAATTTTTTTGGCCAATGATTGCAAGGAGACATTTAAAAAAGAGACTCTTTTTGTTTCTTTGCTTCATTTTCAAAAATTCATCAGAAATATCAGCACAACAGTCAACAGTTCATAATTTTTCCATTAGCCTGGTTACCTTTCTCCAGAAGAGTCCAGAAGTTAAATTCCCTTTTCCCCTAATTTCTCTTCCCCCTTTTTCCCCTTTCTCTCAAATCTGGCTTAATGATGTTTTTGGCTGTTTTGTACTAGAAATTTCTTAAAATAATGCCACTTTTATTATTAAAATAAAAAAAATAAAAAACACATATGGTTTATGTTTTTCACATCATTTCTTACATTATTTTACATCTTTTTTAAACATTCACTATAATAATATAGAAATTGTTTATTATTTATATTAATTCTTTCTTAGCATAATCTATCCTCATAAAAATCATTAATAAATCATTAACAACTAACCAACATTCGATCATAATTATCAAAAAGAAGGCAAAATGGACAGATAAAACAAAAGAAGAAAAACCTGGAGTTCTTGTATGGTGTACAGATGGCTCAAAGATGGGAAATGGTGAGGTATGGGTATAAAAGTACGACATATAAGCACTTGGTCCAACCACAATCATCTTTAATTGAACTTAGCCATAGAAACATATGCACATGCATTAAAACATAAACATGACAAGAGTGCAACAATAATGGTGTTTCCTTTTGATATATATAAAAAACAATCTAGTCATGCTTTTTAATTGTAATTTTATAACTATTAAAGGTTTTAATTATTGTTAACTATTGTTTTTTAAAGCTTTTTAGAAGTTTAAAAATGTTTCATTGTAATCAAATTTATTTATAACAATGTAATGTAGCCCTTAAGAATGTAATAAAGGTTGAAAGCTTGGTGTGAAGTTACAATTTAGACGGTTGATTCATCTTACCTTTGCAACAGTAACATTATCAGATAGCCAGGCTATAAAAAGATCAGCCTAAAACGTCTGGAACTGACAATACTCTTGAAAAACTAGGATCTACAAATAGTCTTTCACTAAGATGAGCTCCAGGCATAAGGAAATTTCAGGCAATGAGACAGTAAAAATGCTGGATAAAAATGGAGCCTTGGAACAATAGGCCCAAATCACAGAATAACTGCGATCTCGAATTTCTAAAGAACTCAATAAATGAGGCTAGCAAAAAGACGATTTGCGAAAACAACCCAATGCTCCATAGAGGAAATCCTATCCAACGGAAAGGAAGTCAAAACCCTAAAAGGTACATTTACAGGACTGTAGTAAATACAACTTTGGTGATGGTAGTGGAATGGAAATCTATGAAATAGTGGTTTCATGTTTCCTAAGCACTATATCTTTCTGGCTTATTGTACTTCTAGTTCTTTAGTTCAGTTCCACTGATTTGATCCTTCTCTGCAGAAGTATTAGGTCTTTGGTGAGTGTCTTTTCTTGCCTTTTCCATGGGTTTTCTTTGTATCAGTTATGTTTCAATTGAGTGGTTGCTTTGCATTTGAAGCTATTGGGTTGTCCGGAAAATAATGCAGGATTTTAAGTTTTCATTAAAAAAAATCTATATAAAATATTCTGTTTACGTTTACAGGATTACTCATTTGTANTTGACTTTATCAATTCTAAAAATTCTGAATTCTACTCAGACGGAATTAATAAGTTACCAACACGTTGGGAGAAATGTATTGAGAGTATGGGAAATTATTTTGGTTAAAGAACATTGCTTTAAAGTAACTAGTTTCTTTTTTTTTGTTTAATACCAAAATCCTGCATTATTTTCCGGACAACCCAATAATATGGGTGGCTGTTTCTTACTCTCCATTGCATAACCTATAAATGTGTAATTATTGTATATACCCATATTATGAAGATGTTTTCTTAGATGCCAGTGACCGGTAAATATAGAACAAGAGCATTCTGGTCTACATGTTATTCAAACATGAAACACTGTAAGAAAAGTTTTCAAGTTTCCTTAAATATGAAAAGCAGAAAACAACCAATAATACTTTGGAGATTTTGGGTATTGACAATATTAGGAACCAAATTCTTCCCTAAAACAAAAACTCCTTATTTGAAATTATTACTGATACTTACAAAATTAAAGTTAAAAATTAATTAATTAAAGTTTGCTTTAGAAAATTATTTTTTATAACTGTCTACAATAAATATAAATAATCGTTGTTATTCATGAAGGGATGGCAACACCATTGGGAAGAAGGAAAAAAATGAAAAAAAAAAATTATCGAGACAAGGAGAAAAATTCGTCTACCAGAGAATCTGGACAATTTAATTTTTCAAGACTCATGCCACTGATTATTTTTGAATCCGTTAAACCACATGTGCACCGTTGGATATTCAAAGTTTCCTCCGCTTTCAAATTCGATCAAGGTGTGCCTTAAGCAGTATGCTTTCTTTTCCAGTAGTGCAATGCTACAAGAATTTTGTACTCAACAGTCAACTCGATGATTAATAATCAAACACAGACTGATACTAAATTATACATCAAGGCCAAAGGGTTGAAACAATACCAATAACACTAGCATTGGAAGGCATACGAGGATTTTAAAAATAAATAGGAATTTGTATTGGCTTGACTCAATAAAATTTAACCTACTTTGAAAAGAAAAAAAAAAGATTAGTGGTTTCAATGTAAAGGGTATCATACATCAAAACAGTGACAAATATAAATCAAAGTATGTTTGAACAATAAAAACGTTTTATTTTCTTAAACAAAGATCATGTCTGTTTAAAAGATTAAAGGAGTAAATTATAATATATATTTACATGAAGAAATTTCAGTTTGGATGAGCAATAAATCACAAATAAAAACCAACTTATACATAATATTTACAATACTTACGACATAACATATAAAATGCACATTTAAAAAGTTTTCATGATCCCATGATAAGATGTTCTTTCTCTACTTTTTATACATTTAAATTTTAAAATATATACTTATCAGTCACTCAGAACTTTTTTTTAACAATAACATTTGCCAAGCAAAAAATAATGCAGGGGTTTCTTCTGTTTAAAGGGAGCACATTCACACTCAGTCGGACAGAAAAATACAGTACATATTTACAGATTATTTTGTTGCACCACAAACACACAAATGCTAGCATTATGAAGTAAAAATTGTAAATATTTTAGGATTTTAATAGAAACAGATATTGGAACAAATATATTCGGAAAAAATCTAAAAATTAGTAAATTCGTTTCTGAAAAATAATTGTAAAATATTCTACTTTTTATCTTAATAAATATATTTTGTCTTGATCTCATGTCTAATAATTTTTAGAGGTGAATTCTAATGCTAAAATACAGCCAAATTAGCCAACGCCTTCTTTTTTGCAGGATATTTTTCTAATGGCTTTTGTACAATTAGCTTTTAAAATAACAAAAATTTGATTCTCAGAATTTTAAAAAGCTCATTGCTTATTAATCAACTTTTCTTCATCTTCTTTGCCTTGGGAAAAACAACAGTAGAAAAAACTTCTAAATATATTTGCTTATGCATATATCGTCTTTCATGTGATATACATAAATGCTAATTACAAGGTTGAAGCAATAAACGAATCAAACTTTGCATCTTGTTTTACATAAAAAAAAGATGTTGGCTTTATAAACATTTAGTATGTAAATATGTACATAGTTGATTTATAACTTTATCCATTAGATTCAGTCACTACTGCTAAAAATATAAGGCACTTAAACAAACCATTGTTTTAGGTTTTTAAATTATACAATTACATCTAAAAGTTAGAGTTGATGAAAAACCTTCTTTCTGGAACATTATATCTGAAACAATTTAGTATTATTACACACAAATTCAAAATTTATAAATACATCACTAAATTTCAACATACAGGGTGAGACAGTTTTAGTCAGAAAAAGTGTTAATTGCTATTTATTTAGAAATCGTGGGCACTCTCGACACGACACGCAAGAATGGCACAATTACACAGAAGAAAAACACTTTGAGCCCTGAAGATGATCTCAATAAAGATTGAAACGTTGGCACGATAAAGAAAATGTTTTTCTGAAACCTACATCACACCAGACCACATCTCATGATTTCTAAATAAATATCGATTAACGGTCACTAATCACCACACACAGTGTTAATTGCATTCAAATTTGACTAACCTATGTTTCTCATTTGTAAAAATTGAGGTGAGTGCGATTTTGGCACACCATAGGAAAAAAGCATTAGTTGCATCCAAATTTGACTACCCTGTGCATCTACTATGGAAAAATAGAAGTGAGTCAGATTTCAACGCATATAGGAAACATATGTATGCAACTATACTTTTTCCTTATAGTACGTTGAAAATCGCACCTACCTCAATTTTTACAAATGAGAAACATAGGTGAGAGTCAAGATTAAATGGAACTAATGTTTTTTTACCTATGGTGCAATAAAATCGTACTCACTTCAATTTTTAAAAAGAGAAACACAGATGAGTCAAATTTGAATGCAACTAACACTTTCTCCTTAAAGTGTGCCAAAAACTGACTTCCTCTGTATATTTAAAAAAAATTCTCAAGAAGTTTGTGCTACAATGCCTAGGTCAATGAGTAGAGGAAAGCCTAAGGAAGATGGTTATTTTCCTTGGGTGACAATACTATAAGGGCGAGAACAACTAGAGGCGCCCTCAAGGTGGTGTTCTGCCACTATTTCAGTTCAGTTTGGTTGATATTCTCCACAAAATCCATTGCAGTTCGTGGTCCGATTGACCAATTAACATTTTTCAATTAAACTGATGTTGTATTGGATCTTCTTGAGGTCATTTTACAGGTGAATAAAGGACATCACTAATTGGGTTTCACCAAGCTTTTGGCGAATGTTCCGCCATCTTCAGGGCCTAATTTATTAAAAACAAAATTTACATGAACAGAGTTACATAACACATCTTATATAAATACATTACTAAATACAATTACGTATTTTACCCAGTTGTTAGGAAAATTAAATTTATTCCACTTTTTTTTTTTTTTAAGTGAAGGTGAAAATGAATCTATATACTAAAAACAAAAACAGTCTTGCTTAAAGTCTAGTGACGCTCATCGGTCCATACTTTGGTTTCATTTTTCATAAGTTAACATTCAATCTCAGGTACATGTATTTCTTTATCATAGATACACTGTATATATACAACTTTTTAACTGTTATTTTAACAAAAAAATTATAATTTAACTAGCTATAACTATGTACTTCGGGGGGGAGAAAAAAAAAAAAAAAACCATCCCTAAACATGTACAATAAATTTCATTTAAAACTGTACTGGGTAAAGTACATAATTGTATTTAGTAATGTATTTATGTAAGATGTGTTATGTAACTCTGTTCATGTAAATTTTGTTTTTAATAAATTAGGCCCTGAAGAACGGAACATTCGCCGAAAGCTTGGTGAAACCCAATTAGTGACGTTCTTTATTCACCTGTAAAATGACATCAAGAAGATCCAATACAACATCAGTTTAAACTACGTAGGTCGATCAACGTCAACTAGAATTTTTCAATTAATTAATATTTATGGAAGGTATTGGTTGAGATAAAAACTCTGATTTTTTTATCTCAACCAATACCTTCCATAAATATTAATTAATTGAAAAATTCTCCACCAATTTGATGAGTGGTATAATTGCTTTAGATATGATGCAGATGACTTGGTGGTGCAATACGCACTTAACTTAACAAACAGATGGTGTAAATAAGATGGGCAGTCAATAAACCCCAATAAAACTATCATGATTCACCAAGAAAAGGGCACTAGGAGGACTTAAGCTACTTGTGCTAAACGTTGCTGTGTCCTTCGCTAAAAGAAGTATCTAGGTGTCATCTTTGACCAAAAACGTTGTTGAAATCAGCAACTAAATAAAATCACACAAAGGGTGAAAATCACCATTGGTAGATATAATCAACTATGTGGGAAAAGCTGGGACTAAATCCAAAGATGTCTCTATGGTTATGAGGGTGTCCTTTTTAGATGGCCTGGCTAAATTTCTCTTGAGCAAATAATGCTAAAAACGTTTTTCAACTGAGGTTGCTGGGTTATGATTTGCATAGACACTGTTTTTAAACGGACCCACAGAAAATAGTCTAACAATCGACGCACACTACACGACAAAGCACATATCATATCATCTATAAAAGTCGTACATATCAACTTGCTATTTATCAGAAAAATGTGCTCTTCAGTTCATTTTGAATGGAATACTGAATGTAACGAGTAGGTATTATTATAAAATTTATTTACTTTCAGGAATTAAGATTTGCACTCATAACGTGAGTTTGAAAAACAATGACAGAATATAAACAATAAAAGTAATTAATGTTTACTTTAGTGAAGAAGGAAAATTATTGAAATTAACAACGAAACAAACAAAAACAAAAAACAAAAGTTTTTTCAAATGTTTTGCCACAATCTAATGTACGTATAGTCTACCTCCATAAAAAGCAGCAAGCTTCGGAAAAAATTTCAGGTGGACAAGGTCTAGGGATGCAATGAAAATTCAGATTTGATAAAAAATTTCACATTAAAATACCCGATTGGGCAAACTGGGGGAAAGGGATCCCAGTTTATGGTGATTACAGATCATATCTATATAGATCGCTCTAAAACAGTATGAGAAAGAAGCTGTTATCTATGGAAAAACCAAGGGCTAGAATTGGCTTTGGACAATGTACCTCTGTCTTTCAAGAGGAGAATCTGGCTATTGTACTGTCAGGAAGACCAAAAGGCTCTACTCTTACAGACTGGTAGCTCTAAAGGAAACTTACTCATCGGTAGTAAAGTCCAGAACCATTTGAAATTGGATCAAAAGGGCCTGTCAGGAATTGGAGCAAGAACAAAATTAGGGGGCAATAAGTCAGCCAAAGAAAGTTCGATTGACACCTACCCAGAACCCTTTTGCTAAATACCAGATTTCATAAATGTAGATCCACCAGACAATGAGTTAAAAATAAGGCCTCAGTTCGATCGGAAAGTATCCCAAGTTTGAGGCAAAAAAGTTCATCAAAGGACCATCACACAAACTAACAACGGATGTACTAAACCTAGGATGTGTTAGGACTAAAATGATAGTAGGATTGCAGACTTCAGGGGCAGAAGTTAAGCCTGTGTAAACTTTACCAGTAAGAAGAAGAATCAGCGGAACATGCTATTTGTTAGTAAGAAGGCCTATGCAAGCTGAGATTCATACTCCTGGGAGAGGAAAAGCCAAGGACTGAAGGACACACGGGAGCCCTCCCTCAAAGCATCTAAAGAGACTTTAAATAATAATGGAGTTTGCACAATTGAGCAATATTGGTGCACAAGGTCGTAAAAAGGCCGACTCCTTTTAACCCTTTAACCATTTATATTACGAGTATAATGTAAGTTGATACATTTGCCAGATCTTACAGGATCATTTAATTTTGTTGTCATTTGTAACCTGCACAATTAATTAGAATTTAAATTATTTGCCTTTGAAGGGAGAACATGACGGATAGGAAGTACACGCCTGGTTGGGTTGTGAAACGGGCTTGGTTTAATAGGAAGATATATTAGAGAAAATCAAGTATACCATTAAGCAATCCCCGGCCATTCACATTACCAGCCAATTATTACTGTTATACCAGGACGGGCCTAATTCCTATTAGGGCTAAATAAATATTAATAATTGAAAAGTAAATTGTTAATAAAAGTATTTGAAATATAATTTGAAATTATAATTAGTTGTTATGAATCACGTTCATTTTGGATTGTGATTTAAATCAGAAATGTTTTCTTTTGATTTTTAAGGGATATGAACCGTTAGTTTGGTCGTTCCTGAATCGTCTGCCTATGCCTAACCTTCCTTTGGCCTGCCTCACCCTTCTTATAGTCTTGTTTGTGTAATTTTGGTTATTCGAGACCCTTTCATAAGTTCGATTATGTGTTATGCCGGTTATTTTGACAGCCGTTTGTTCTGGTAATTTTTTGTTTTAATTTAAAAAAGAAAATAGGCTCTGAGCCCCCTTGAATAACAAAAAAGTATAAAATTCGTGTCAAAATGAATGTATAAATGAAGGCTTAAATGGGGCGTCGGAGGCCGCAACGGTTTAGGCGTTGACACGGCACTCATCACTGTAAGGTAAAGGTCCAGGGTTCGAAGCCAGAGGGCCGAGATTCGAACCCGACATACTTACAAATGGGCTTTTTTCAAAAACACCGCCACCCTGAGGGTTTATATGACCTCTGCTGTTGCGAACCGTCGTTAAAGAAGTAACAAAAAAAAAAAAATAAATAAATAAAAAACATAGGTACTAAATTAAATAAAAAAGGGATGTAGTGGCTACTTGTAACTACCACACGTTACCGCTAGATGCCACTACGACTTATGGAATGTCTCGCCCTCCACTCTGCAACCAATCAGAGTAGGGCTTTCCCTATATAAGCAGGGGCAGTGGCTCGCTGGAAGCAGACTCGACACTCGTCAACTCGACGAGATCTCAACTATCACTAATGTAACAATAGACTCGTCAAGCCGACGAGGTCTCAGACATCACCAATAATCGACTACACTAGACTCGTCAACCCGACGAGCCGTCACTAAAGGAACACCGTCGACGATAGCAAGTACTCGCAGCATTAGCCTGATCTCGCCTTCTAAACAGCTGACTTGGCCGTAACCGCCAACTGCTGTCCCTCGGCTAATTGCTGTACTCCAATACCTTCGGCCACTGTGGAGTCAACCGACTCACGGCCCCCGGACCTCAGCCAACGGTTTACTCATGGTCACAGACCACCACCAACGGCGCCACGCACACGGTCT